TATTTCTATTTACTGAAACTGTTTTTAAAAAATTTTGTCTATGCAAACCAGGACTCCATACTTAAAGTACTAAACAAACAAAAAAATATTTTCAAAGACTAGCTAGCTTAGTCTCCAGAAGAAACTAAGCTTATTGCTTTACAGTATTACATGCAGGTTCAAGTCGGTTTATGTGTATAATCAGTTATTTATCTCCAGCTCAGCCTTCTAGCCTGAGCTGTTAAAATAGAAAATATGGCATAACTGTATTTGTAGCTTCAAACATTTTAGGTTTGGTTTTCTTGACACTTCCTACAATGATAAAATTATAATTTAACAATGACAATAACCAAATTTACATTTGGTGCTTTTAATTGTTTCATGGCTAGATACTTCTTGAAAAATTCACCCTCCAGAGGAGATGATTACATTTCTCTCCTTCAGCACACAGTATTCAGTACGACAGATTAAGTCTAAAGATCTATCCAACCTCGAATTTCTGGTTTATGAAAAAGTACCACCAGATGGCAGTAGAAACCCATTCTTGCCTTCAAATTCCTTCTTAAGGCTAGACGGAATCACAAGCTTTACTGCCAAGATAACCACAGAATCTCACCCACTAGTCCAACATCGTAGATATTTGTCCTGTTTGAATCAAGATTTACCTTCTAAAGATAAACAGTTTTCCCAGTGAGTAGAGTTTAATCTTTGAAGATCTATCAATAAAATATAGTTTGAAACAGATCATGACAGGTTTTGTTGGTTGGTTGTTTTTTTGAGGGAGGCACTTTTCTCCAGATTCACACTGATCAGCTAAAGCTATATATACAGTCAACTTCCTAAAAAGCAATTCAAATAATTTTGTTCTTAAGCCTAGAAACAATTGTGAGTAACTACTACATGGAAAACAAGAGCAGGAAAAGCTAGCCATGTGACCTGCCACCACTAAATGCTTATACTGTTCTTTCACTCCCTAGTGAATGAGGATTTAGCAGCACTACAAAGAAGATAGCAAGCTCCTTTGGCTAAAGATACCAGACACTTTCATGATGCTTTTTAAAAACGAGAATCTGTAATTTTACAGCTTGGCAGAGAGTGAATGGATCAAGAGTAGACAAAATAACATGATATAGGTATCGCACAGTACAAACTTCCCAGTGTCAGACAAAAAACATTACATAGGAAAATTAAAGAAGGGAAAATGACACAGAGAAGCAGAACAGCAATTAAACTCAGTCTGAAGACAGATCTGATTTTATTTAAAATAAACTGGATTTTGGTCCAAATGTCCTATTTTAAAATGAACCCAGCCCATATTTCTTCAAATACGTATCACCGATTTACACAGTAATGAACTACTACCCTTGTCACTGCTACACCAACAGGCTCCACTGATCCAGTACTTTACTACTGAAAGAGCCTGAACTGTTATTTACATAAAACCAAGGCTGCAACAAACACCACGTATACAGGAAGAAATGCTAGATTTAAATCCCATCGACGAGACTATGCTGCAGGATCTAGTTCTCAGGAGAAAACAGAGAACTGAAATAGAGCGAAACTCTAACTTTCTACCTACTTCTTTCCAGAGCTACAAGACTGGCAAACTATGAAACACACATAATTGAGAATAAAAATTCCATCTTGCAAAACCTCCCTAGTATCCACAACATTCTGAGTAAGATTTGGTCAACAGAGTCAAAGATCTGCTGAGGCACTTTTAACGTTACCTAATTTACTCTACCACTGGGACTTTCGTTCACTCTTCCCCCTGGCATTTCACAAGGAGTGAGCAGCTAATGAACATGTGTTAAAAGGACAGACATGAGTCTGGAGAGTTCACAGGCCTTCTGGCAAGTTCCCAGTACCTCTAGCGATCTTTAAATATCTAGTCCACAGTCAAGTTAACATATACATTTAATTTACAGTATTAGTTAATTAACAGTTTGAAATTCTCATCTACTTCTATACCACATAGCAGAAACAGGAAGAAAAAAAATAATGAAATTGAGGGTACTGGTAGTATCCTAGTTCCTTGCACTCACTTAGCACTATTTAAACAGAAAAGTCCCAGGAAGTGTCAGTTACAACTTAATTTCTTTCCTAAACCTGGAAACCTAAACTCTCACTTTTTTTCTTTTTAAATAGGGACTAGAGCTTTGATACTGTTTTGTTTGGTTAGGTTTCAGTTTTTCAACTGAAAATACAAAGAGTCCAAGATTTACTCACTCTGGTTATTTTTTCTGCTCATCTGAACTTCTTCTACAGGAATACACCGCAAAGCTGTCATAATCCTCTGAGCAATATCAGATAAAGGCACTTTATAAGGGTCACATCCTATGTATGATGTGTACCGTTCCATTTTTAAGATTAAACCTAAACACAGAACACACAAATTACACATGATATCAGGGCCACAGAACAATCTGCACTTACATTCTGTTAAGATTAAAAAACAAAATATAGTGAACATGTTCAGTCATTCATTCTCCTCAATAGAAAATGACATTTTCTCCCTGACGTGCGTATCAGTTCTAAATACTGTAAATTAAAATTAGCAAATTGTAGTAATTTACAAAAACCATTAAGTGAAATTTCCTTGAAATAGTGTTCTAATACACTAAAAAAAATTAAGTCCTATTAAGATAACTTCTAATAAAGAAATACCGACACATAAACCAAGAATTATGATTTATGTCTGAAATACTTCCCCCTTCAACTCCTTTAAACTAGCCTATATCTAGCATATGCATGCATTTACTGTTATTGGTGCTCAGATTTTATTGAGGAAAAAAACCCTTCAAGTAACCACCAAAATAGAACCAACACACAATGAAAGAAACAAGTACTACTATCACAATATACAAACATTAGTGATGTGTTACTTCAGAAAATATTTATCATAAAAGAATTCTATTCCTTAAGCTTCATATAATTGTTGTATTCAAGTGCTATTAAATACTAATCGCATTAAAATAGTTACAACAGTTCATTTGTCAATTTAAGAAACAGGTCAGCAACAGCTAAAGTCTTGCCAAGCTTTGGCTGCAGCTATTCCTGTTCTGAATTCTAACCTTTTTTGAAAAGCAGTTGCTTCTCCAGTTGACCTGTAGCCATATTCTATAGTACATACAAAATACTTTGTGAGCCCCTAGATAAAACATATTTGGGAGAATAAGAAACAACGGTGTCTATACTGATGACTTTGTTGACTTTAAATAGTTAGACCAGAACAACGCATAAAACTTGCCACAAACACAAGTTAAATACCCAACATTATCAAAAAAATTTAAAGGATTCAAGCTGTACAGGTCAATTGCTCTATCAAAAATTGCTGTTAAGTAAATTATTCCTATATAAGTTAATAATTGCAGTCCTGTTACTGTGGTCTTCTCCCACTAAATCCAGTGCATGAGTAGACTTTCAAGTCAAGTTTAACCATCAAGTAAACATTATTTCCTCTGCTTACATGGAAATATATTTCTTGGCTCAAGACCATAGGCAGATTGCAAGTTTGAATACTTAAAGAGTACAAACATTTGTATCCAGACCCAAAGACCTATCAGGCTGCATGAGTATTGGCAATATCTATCTCAAATTTTATAGCATGCATACAAAAGGGAGAGACAGACAGAATTACTTTCTTTTCCACGACATTCCAAGAGTCAGAAGTATAGTCTTTCCCCATTCACAACTCCTTCAAACTTTTATAATTAAAAGCAACATTTCCTTCCTACACAGGGCAAAATGCTCCCTGACTTCTCAGGGTAAGAAGCAGCAGTCTTACAGCCTCAGGGGCATATCAAAACGAGAATCTACCAGACTAAAGGAAAACAAGACACTAAGCATGAGAACACACCTAAAACCAACACACAGATTCACCATCAATATTGACAACTCTGAACTGAATTTATAGTGTTTGGCATTTAATAATAAACACAATGTATAGAGTTAAGCAGCATGAAATCCAGATACAAAAGATATCCAATCAGTAAGTTAAAAAAAACTTAAACATTTAAAGTTATACTCACATAAAAGTTAAAAGTCTGTCATCAAAACAAGTTTAAGACTACTATTACTGAAATTAAAGCTAATTTACTAACCTTCATCAATACATACAGTGCTTGAAAGCAAGCACAGCTGATCCCATCAAAATATAAGACTGGAAGTTAGCATACTATAAAAGCCTATTTAGTTCCATTGGTGTATTAGGAAACTACATAGAATTTGGTAAACAGTCTAACAACATACATGAAAGCCCAAGTATGAGCATCAGGACTCTAAATTGAAATCACTATTGTTACAGAGCAAACTCAAAAGTTCAAAAGGTAAATTTAAAATCCTTTTTCTTTGAAGAATCCAGTATGAGTATGGACTGGTTTCAATGGAGAAGATAGGCCATTAAGTTAAATTAAGAAATACAGGAATGGTCTTAAAACAGATGGTCTTGGTACTTGAAGCAGATTCTAGTGTATATCCCAATACATTTCTAACAAAACCAAATCTTAGGAGAACTGTAAGGGAAACAATCACAGAATATCCACCTTGGAGAACTCTCCTCTTCAGAAGGAGCACATTACATTCATGTTTCAAAATCTGGAATGTCTTCTCCACATTTATTTTTCAGTTCACATATCAAAGGTTCTTAGCATGCAAGAAAATTTATCTCAAGGCTACGAAATGTTCCTTTTTGTGGTATTCTGTGTGCAGTGGAAATCAATGTACAGGCTAGCAGAAGAGTAGCTTGAAAGTAATTTGTCCAAATAACCAATGTATCACTTCCTATCAAAGAACTTTGACAAAACTGTGATTTGAACTCAGTGGGCAGAGGCCAAAAGCCATAAAGCAGCATATAAACCAAACTCCGTAACTGTGGCAGTTAAATACACATTGCAGTGACAGATAAATGTGACTCTTGGTAAGTTAATACTTATCATTCCAGACAGTTTACATTAACATGTTTTCCTTTCTTAAGAGTACACTGAAGTTTAAATATTAAGAACGTAATTGGTGGTGAAATTCTAAGCTTCCAGACCACTGGCTTCAGCCTCAGACTGCTGCTCAAGCTTCTCCACCATCTCTTTCAAGTGGTCTTCGTCTTTGAAAAAATACACATACAAGTTTCTTTCCATCTGATGCAGCTTATTGGACTCTAAAAAGTTTCTCTTTGACTTCACATCAGCAATCAGATCCATAAGGAGTTGATTTAGTTTATTTAAATCAAATTCCAGTTGATGAAACTGCTCAGTAAGTTCCTAACAAAAATACAAGACAAAAAACTATTACTTTTATATTTCTAATTCAACTAGTGTATTAACAATATAAAAGTTTTTTGCTTCTGGAAGCCACTTGCATTTGTAAGTGAAAAGTCATCACAAAAAAATAGAAACACAGGTGATAAAAGATTCAATTTATGTAACTTTTGAGCTCCATGTAATAAAAACTGTAAGTTGCAAATTCACTTGACAGATGGAAATGTTAAATATATTTTTATGTATTTAACCAAGGAAGTATTATGTAACAGAAGACTTCCCTCAATCCACTTTTGAGATATCTACAATTATTTTAAAAAACCATAACAAGTTGCACTTGATAACCCCTGTTCCCTTTTAAAAGGGGTTCTAAATCCAGCACCTGGGAGCTCTAAGGCAGGATTGCCCTACTACAACTATCCTTCAAAATTCTGATATTCTTATTTTGTCCAAATGAGCCACCCATGACCAGACTTTAAGGGGTCAGATCGTACTATTCAGGTGTTACAGGTAACAGAGAAAAAAAGTCCATCTGGAATAAAGAGAAATTTAAATTCATTAACACCATATCCAGACAGCGTAATTCCCACACCATAAGCTTCCTAGTCATACAAGACTGTATGTCTCTGAAAGGGATTAAAAGTTAGATGCAACGATTTGCTCAGAAACGAAAAATTACTACCTGTCAACATTCACAAAATCCAACATTTGCTAAGAACAATGTAAATATTAGGCCCATCATCATTATGCAAATACGTTTGTGGCTGAATGTGGGAGCCAATTTGCGTGTCTACAGTCTTCACATTGCATTTTTCTTGGGAAAAGATAATGACACATTAATGAAATAATTTTAATAACTAGGTAAAGGCTTACCGGACTACTGAGTTGTATCTCTTTTCCCCCACAATACAGAGCATCATGAAGGGTATTTACATCACTTTCTAGCTTGGACAAAAGGAGAGCTTGTTCTTGAGAAGATGCTGCTAGCTGATCTTGTGCTGTCGCACAGTCCTGCTTTAACTTCTGAGCCATCTGCTCCAGGCTTGTGTACGTTTTAAACAATTGTTCTTTTTTATTTTCTCCTTCCAGAAGCTGAAATAGCCTGTAACAAACAAAGTTAGACACACAAGCATTTTTAAGTTCCCTAAGCACTCCTGTTATTATTAGTCAAGAGAAAATGTTCATGTTGAGAAGTTAGAGGACTCTTAAAGGACAGCACTGCTCAGGGTACTCTTACTACACGGCTGCATCTCCCACAGATTTCATGATTCTATCTATATATAGCTAGTACATGATTAGTAAGACTCCAAAATATTTCAATATTAAATTAACAGCAATGAAATACCAAAGTAACAGTTAGTAAGTACACAATAAATACAAATAGAAGTTGACAATGTGCTTTTGCCAACTATTTCCTGACACTTCAAGGACTGCAAAGACAGACACGATTTTTTAAGTGTTGAAAACCAGCAGACTTCAATGGTCAATGAGAAATAAGAGAAATCGTTATAACGCTTTCAAGCTTGCTGGAGTATTTCTCATTATCTATTTATGAAGAGACTGCTAAGAAATTCTCCACTTAGTTATGAGTCTTGCAAAAGACAGCAATACTTGCTATACCAAACTGTACCCTTACACTGCATCAGGAATAGTCTAATACGATTACAGATAACTCTGCTCAGTTGCTACCATTATCTCTGTGTATGAAAATCTTCAGGAGTTGAACCCCAGTATATAATCAGACTGGCTTTAGTAGAAATAGAATCTATATTTCAAAAGCAACCAGTTTCTTTCAAGTGTCTTCTGCTTACAAGCCCTTTAAGGTTTGTAACACTTTCAACTTCACTTCCTGTTTTTAGAAAAAAAAAAAAATAAAGTAGCCAGACAACATTCAGTGATTTGGAGACTTAATAATAAACCTGAACAAAAATATTACAAATTGTCAATGCAAACACACAATGGGAGCAAAATTAATGCTGCCTAATTCTTGCAGTTATTCACTGTGCAAGACCATACTCTGCTATCACTTAATTATTAAAAAACCACTTAAAGCATCATCTTAAAGGAGGAAAAGTCTGACATTAACACACCTACAATTACACAACACACCTCATCGAAACATTTAGAGTATTGAAGTGACAGCAACACAGCACACATTCCTACAGTATCAGCTGAGCTACAAGGAGACTTAATTACTTAAACAGTGAAAACAGAGATTCCTACATGGGTGACAGCACGCTGCAGCCAGATGGCAAATTGAGCAGTAAAAACGAGCTGAACACTTCACGTATCGAAAGACTCGTTCCTCTCCTCTACCAGGAGGGGGTTTTTGCAGGCTGAGCTGATAAGGCCACGCATACAATGTAGGAAATCACTGTTATTAGCAGCTCTCTACATCTGTGCTTCTAGAATAACTTTCAAGAGGTCCTAGATCAGGGCACTGTATAAGACAGGTTTGACTTTCAACATTGATTATATTCTGCATATTGCTTGGGAATGCTTCAGCAATATTAAAAAGACTGATAATTGAACAGCTTTTCCTCAGGCAAACCTGAGAACTGCAAAGGACAAGCAAGAGGCAAGTCTCTTATCTCGAAGGCTTCAGTTCTAGAGAATTCAAAATACTAATCGGCTATAGCAAGTAAATAAGAACTTAGCAACAGAAAAGGCTTAGCTTGCCGAAGCCTTTATCTCCCCAATATTATTTCAAAGTCAGTGAAAGTTCAACAGCGACTGTAACACTTACCGACAAGAGAAATCATCCTTTGAACTAATAGTGTTTCTCGGCTTTGCGTGTTGAGTTCGCTCAGTTATCACTTGTAGCCTCTGTTGCAACTCGTTACTGCTCTGTTTCAGAGACTCTACCAAATTCTCAAGTTGACAGCAGGTCTCCTTATGTTTCTTCAACTCCATTTCAAAGGCTAGCTCGATAAGTTCAAACGATGCCTTCTGTCTTATCAAATGCCTGAATACTTCATCTTGTCTTGAAGCATAATAGTCCTGCTGAGTAATCTGACCATCCAAGTATCCTTTCACTGCTGGCGCACTGAAAAGTCGTGCCTTCTCTTTCAGAAGGGGAAGCAGCTCTTCATTGTTTATCTGAATTATTTCTTGTTTAAGTGTTGAAATTTCATCATTTAAACTAGATATTTTGGCATCGAGGTTTTCTTGTTTTCCAATGTCCTGCGTAAAGCAAAATATTTGTCAATTTCTTCCTAGTTCCCTCCAAGCCACTTCCCTTACACATTTCTTCAGTTCACACAAGATTCACTACGTTAATATCACTAAAATCTCTGCATCTTTTCTATCAACAAAATTAAATGAAAACTCTACAAGCAGTTTTATAGAGCTTTACAATATAAAGCAAATAAGGATTTAAAAAGTAGATCTCAAATAAATGTATTTCAATAAATAGTAATTTCATTCCACTGAAGGGCCAGGAAACAGTTTACTATAAAAAAAATAGAAGAGCTGTAATTCTAATTAGCACCAAGATTTCAAGCATGTCTAATTAAAATTCTACACACAAACATAACTTTTTATATTCAGTCAGATGACTATCAACACTGCCATCAGAATCAATCTGTTTCAAATTACTCTAATCAATCAGGTCCTGTATGCTAGTCATCCATAAATGAAAATATACAAACTGACATGAAGCCTCAAGTTAGTCCATGACTGGCATAAGCTAATATTTTTACTTCTGTTACGGTTTGTTCACATTCTTAAATTCCAGTAGTCATATCTGCCAGTCACTGACTTCTTGAGAGATTTCTGATGCTCCAGCTATTCAATCCATTTATTTGGTATTTAAAACACATCACCATAATGTCTCCATATTACAAATACTTGAGTTTCAGAAGAGTCAGTGACCTAAAAATGTTCAAATTTATGCTATGGAATATAAACAGAAATACATTTAGCACATTAACTCCTCAGTATCACAAAGTTTCAACCAAAGTTAAGCTCTTTGTTTTACAAACAACTGAAAGCCAGTTATAATTTGAGATCTCAGAGTCAAACTAAACTGAAAAGGTACTACTAAATTATAGGGGTTTTAAGGTAGTAATTCTGGAAAGTAGAAATAAGGTACTCTGCCATACCAAATTTCTAACTATAGAAACTAGAGCTATTTCACAAGAGGATTTTTGTGAGCAAGACTAAAACTTCATAAAAGTGCTATTTACTATATAAAAATACTTGAAATAACAATAACTCAGCGATTCCTTTTACTAGATCCAGTTGAACATGCCTGCCTGTTGAAGACCCTACTTACCTCTATCACCTTTTGCAGCTTACCTTGTTGTTTAAGGACTGCAGCATTCTCTCTGCACATTTTATAGCTGAATTCATGCTCTCCTCCTTAGCTTGCATCTGAATTAGCTGATATTGAGCACTAATATATGCTGTTTGGATCCTGGCCAGCTCTTGACTCTCTTCACAAACTTCATTAGTCTCATCATAAGTGACCGGTTTGCTTACATCTGCAAGCTGAAAGCTGTCTTCATGTGAATTTTCAACCCATTCAGACATATCTTGATAAAAATGGGTTTTTAAGTATGAGGTAAGTGCTGCAGTGCTTTGCTCTTCCTGAGACAAATACTTGTCCAAAGAAAGTTGGGAAAAAAACACTGGATGCGGACCTGAACCTTGTTCTGAAACTGAAGCAGTGAAGAAAGAGGCCAGTTTCTTAGCTGCATCCGTAAGAGACAGCAGTTCATTATTAAGCTGATTATTTGCTGCAGTAAACACTGCCAGTCCTTCTTTCAAATCTTTATGTGCTTCCTCCTCCTTGCTTTTTAATGTTTGTAACATATGGCTGTTGGCAGACACCATCATTTGAAGTTTATTACGCCGATGAATCTGGAGTTTTTTTAACTTCTGAAGAGTCTGAATCTCATCCTCTAATTTCTTCAGTTCCTCCTCTTCTTCCTCCTCCTCCTCTTGGCTACTAGTCTTTGAATAAACGGGCTTCAAGGTTTTAAGGGCTTCATCCAGTGCATTCCCTTCCAAAATGGGCTTACCAGATTCAAGAAGCCTATCAAAATCTTGCAATTCTTTTTCAGATACCACATACTGCTCATTTACGTTTCCACAAAACCACTCCAGAAATGATTTGTCTTCTGAAGACTCAAACAGCCAGTCAAAATCTTCTCCATTAAGCTCATCAGCTTTTGGATATCCAATTTTCTTAAGAGTTTTCACAAAATCATTTCCACAGCTCATGATTAAAATATTTTTTGTAAGCAGAAAAGATCCGAATACACGAAAAAAAATCTGGTGTGTTATTCCAGCTGTATTTTTTTTGTCATTTTAAATGAACATTCAGTATTTTGACACAAAGAGTCTGCACAGGAGAAAGGAAGTGTCAGATCGCACCAGAAAACTGAATGTTATTCTGGATTAGAGTGGCTATTCGAAGACTAGAAATCAATTTTTATTTCAGGGACGTCTTAATATATTTTGTTCATCAAATCAGGACACATATTTTTACATCAATTAAATCCCTGAAATTTGTAAACACTTACGTTTTTCCTTAATTCATATAAATTTATTATTAAAAATAGAATACTACCATTAATTTAAAAGCACCAGGTGTAAATATTGAGTAATTCATTGGTCTGCAAAAGTGATACACATATATTTCTCCTCACATTAAATAAACCCCCCTAACCACAATCATTTTAACTGTCTCAAAATGAGAGCTTCCAGCTTGTTTTAAAAACAAAACTACAGGGATGTTACACTGCACTCCAAGATCTTGCTTCTAAAGTTTTGGGTTTTTTTTTCACTTCAGCAGCAAGCAGAATCTTGTCTTCTAAATCTCCGTTTTAAAGTTTCCTCTGAAAATGGAACAAGAAATCCTTTAACATAAAAACATCTTAACATAATAATGCAGGGTTTTTATCAATTATAAAAAAATATAAAATTAAGATCAGTGTTAATACTCTTGTAAAAAGAGCCACAACTTAAAAGTTACAAGAAAAAGGACTTCGCTGTTTCCCAGCAAACAAATCACCAGCTTTGGGATCCTCAAGGAAGTGCAACAGGCAGCGAGGAACACAATAAATTATCAGGAAAGTCAGAAGGCCTTGTCCGCAATAGTCTGGTAATATCCAAGTGGTTTGGGTTTTTTTAGCTTGGTGTTACTTAACATTTTGTTTCCAGAACATACATTCCACCAGAAAACCCCACTTCGTCAGCCGGCCAGGAGGGCACGAGCACTCAACAAGTAAATGCTTCCTTCTGAAAGTCTGTGTGTATTTAATTTATCTTAGAGTTACAGATTATGAAAGAAATGGAAACTGTTACGCTGGTTTCATGTCACGGGGCAGTTTTCCAACTGCCCTCTGCCTTCCGTGCTAAGAAAGGCCTGTCGTCAAAATAAATAAATAAAAAGGAGCCCACGCAGCTTCATGTCTGTGCACGCGGACATCGTGAAGGCACACTGACACCGCCGCTCAAGCCACCACCAAACACCAAAAATAACATCTTGGGGCCCCTGAGGAAGCTTCCCA